AGTTCAGTTCTTCTGAAGAATTCTAAGTTACTTCATATGTGAAAGTCATTTATTTTAGAAACAGTGGGACCAAGGACTACAAAGGCTAACGTGATCCTGTTCAAGATACCTGAGTAGCTCAAACCCACAGTGTTGCAATGATTTTAATGTATCTCCTCCTGGGAAGAAAATGATGTGATAATTTAGTGCTACCTCCCACATGCCTTAACAAATATTACCTGCAAATAAATTCAAGACAATTCAAAGCAAAAACTGATGAACTGGGATGGTGACTTTTAAGCAGGAGAGCAAAGACAAGTAAAAGACCATATAGTCTGGAGGGACTGAATGCTGTCATTATCCAATCTTCAGTAAGTCCTCTGCATTGTCTTAGTAGAAGTAAAACAAAAACCTGTTAAAAACTGATCTGTGCAGTTGAAGAAAGGAAACTGAAATGATCTGTAAAACCATGCAAATCACAGGAGTAAGGAAAATAATAGATTTTGGGGTATTTTTCTGCAAATGAACCTCTATCTGTGTGACTGAAAGTACCTGAAAGTGTTATGCCTTGCTGGATACTCCACTGGCCAAGGAGAAGACGTGGGTGGATTGATCTAACTTGCACAGTAGGGCAGCTTACCCAGGTTTGCTGGTGCAACCACTGAATGAGGGGAAAGCAACCTGAGAAATGCATCACTGAGAGGCACTTGCACAGATTTTTCCATTTAAATGTCTGCTTTTCTGTGCTTTTCTCCCTTGGCCCTCTACTTTTCCTTGGCAAGGTACACAGTGACAGTAACCTGGGTATTCATGAATTTTGATTTACTGGAGAAAAGCATAACAAGAAGCAATATGGAACGTGTAACCTTAGCAACTTCAAATCAGAAATAAGACATGCATTTAACCAGGAAAGAAATTAACGAAGGAAGCGATGATGCAGAATGCAGTAGAAGTTGCTGATTCTCCCCTACCTTGATGTATTGAGGCCAAGACTGAATGACTTTTTGGCAAATAGCTTTATCCAAACATAAACACTGCTGGGCTTGGTAAAGGGTACTGCATAAAATGCAATTTCTTGTGATGTATGGGCCATCAGACCAAATGAGCTAATGGTCCCTTGTGGCCTTCTGTTTTATAAATCTATTAACTCGAATTGGGAATTTATAGAACAGAGGGCCAGAAGGAACAACTGTGATGGAGTTTGTATAAACAGTTCCCATGGACTTAATCATGTTCCTTTTGGAGTTGTTGGCAAAAATCCCATTGTATGGGTAGAACTTGCCACAAATCACGAAAGGAAAAGGCTTTTATAAATGTAGATGAGGAGACTGAGAGGGGAGAAAAAGCATTTATTAGTTCTTGAAGCTACAAGTATTTAGAAACTTGTTTCTCTATTAGCGCTTAGAGGATTTAGATTCAATGGCAGTTGTCCATGGAAACAGAGATCACTGCAATGGCTTGTTGAGAAATAACAAGAAGTATATTAATAATTCCACAAGCTTGGTCTTTTCCAAATTTAAACCCACTTTCCATTCTCTGTCCCATTTCTACTAAAACTAAACAACCTGAAATTTGACGTGCCTCATCTTGTGTTACAGGACATTTTATTTGGAAAGCTTAAACTAATCAAAGGGAAATAGCTGTCAGGTAGAGGAACTGCATAGCTGACCTGTCAATTACCCTTCCTGTAAAATACATATATTTTTAAATGTCCTAACATTTCCTTTAATGCCAGCTCTCAGAATGAATTTTCTTATAAACTTCAATTTTCTTGTAGAGCTTAAAATGCCACGGGCTTAAAGAAACAGCCCACAGGCCTGGGAACCTGTGGAAATTTTAACCATACATGGTCTTTAACATGGACAGAGATTCTGTAGTCAAATGTGGAATCCGAGTCCCATTTTCAGAGTTCTCCTGTGATATCATCACACCTGTGTCAAATAATGTTACCGTTTAATAGAGTCTGAAATGCCAACTGTGTTTTCTCCGTGTTCATGCACCTCTCAAAGTGTCAAGAATATGTGGCAGCTCTACAACTGATCTCCTGCATGTTTCCATAGTTTCTGCTGTGCCCTCGATACTGATATACACAAAATAGGTGTATGTCCATCTTCTGGTCAAGAAAAGTCGATGGTTTCAGCAGAGTGGACCGTAGGTCCAACCTGGATATAGAAAAATAAAGACTGATGTGGATCATGGAAAAGAAAAGCAAACACAGAGATGGCAGAGCATCTTGGAACGAATGAAATGCAGCCTCTGTGTGGCTCAAAAATGAGTGGTAGTACGGAAGGAGGCATCTCAGTGCAGCACTCTGATTTCCTATAGAGGAGACAATACCAAAACCAGCAGTTCCAACTTCTATCACATATTGTCACCACTTTTTCTCCAGCAGTGATGCTTGCTCTCTGCCAGACCCCTGAACTGCTAGCAGGGAAAGACACTGTAGATATGAATGTATTATTTTGATCTCTCATCTCTATTCAACTACCAAACTTCAGTATGTAGGCATCTTTGACAGGTCAACGGTTTGATCAGATATGGAAAAAAAATGGTCAGTGGGAGAGAAGTTCCCCTTGTGACAAAACTCCTGGCTTCTGTTTTCTAAGAAACAATAGGATAGATTTATACCAGAGTCTTGGTCTACCCATAATTATCTAGCCCTGTGGTACTGCTATTGCTAGTAATAGGCCATTAGCTCTGTACTGAGTTTTCAAAGCTTCAGGATTGAGCTTTGTCATTAGCTGTTACTGAACTTGGGTTTACTTGCTAGCCAACTTGTTTAAATTCATTTTTGCTGTTACAGCATTTTCATTAATTGGTCAGGTATTCGTGGTTTCCTTCTTTCACTTATCTTTGTTTGGTACAACTATAGATTTGTATAGACAGAAAAAAACAAGCATTTATTCTGTGCATAATGAGATATTTATGACTCTAACACAATAATGTGGTATAGCAATGTACAAGCTTGGCACAACAGCAAAGGTCTTAAAAGTGGAGATACAGAAGTAGCACAGGCAGGGGGTAATAAGAACTGTGGCACAGGCTGGCACTGGAGACCTCATTGCTATAAGCAAGTCACTGATGGACAACTAAAGGAAATGCAGACCTAAAGCTGGACAAACGCACTTCTAGGAGAAACAAAGAAAACAAAGAAATAACATTTAGTATACATAAAAGGTACTGAATAATTTAGAAATAACCTGGGAGCTGCAAACCAATGAAGAAAGAGTAAAGGTATAAAAGTAAGCCAGCAAATAAATAAAAATAGCTCAAAGTGGATCCTGGAGGGAGGAAGAAGAAGCCACCAAAAGAAGCATCATATTCCTCCCAGCAAAAAACTTGCAGATGCTGATGATTTGCCATAAGATTGTGCACATGCACTACCAGAACCCAAATGCCAACCCAGGGGTAGTTATAAGAACTTTATGCATAACTATTTCAACTGTTGTTTTGCTGTTGTTTTTTGTTTTTGCTTTTTTTCTGGGAACAGTTAAATCTAGGCTAGTAATGCTCTTCAGATTTCAGTTATAGTAGCAATAAACTCTTCACTATGAGCACAGAAATTCAAATAACAGTGATTGCTGCCCTCCATCCTCTTTTTTGGAGAAAGCACATGTTGGGAATCTAAAACCTTCATCACACAGGAGAGGACTGAGCCTATGTATGAGGTGGACAGGGTTGCTTAAGGTATCTTACTATTCTTAGGAGTAGAAGTAAGACCGGAGAGATTAATCATATCAACTATTTCAACTTTAATGCTCAGTAATAAATGGCCTTTGCAAACAGATTATGATTTACCATCTTATGAATTTTATACCTAAAGGCAAAGTCCCTTCGCACCCTTGACTGGGAAAATCTAATGGAACATCTCTGTAAGGAACAAAGCAATGTATCATGTCAGATTCCCACACTGTTATTCCAAGTAGCTAATGCACAAATCTTCAGGTCAAGGTCTTATTCATATATTATAGCACTGACCCTCTTGTTGCTAAAATGGATAGAAATCATGGCATTCTTATTTTCCCAGTTTCCTTTCATGTTGGGTAGTTTCTAAGTTCTTTCCCCCCTTCAAAGCAATAAACAAAACATTGCTATTGCATAAGATGAAACCAAGCAGCTCTGTTTCTTTAGACACAGGAGGACAGGCCATCTCACTGTGGGAAGCAGCTCATGACAGGTCTTGCTTTCATATCTGAGTGAAAATAAAGCAAGTTTCATCTCTAAGCTTTAACTTATCCTATGAAAATCCAAATAGAAATACATGGAATACATAGACTCTTCTCCTTTCTGGCACAGATGCAAGAGTGATTCTTCTGGGCATGTATGTTATTAAGACAACACCTTCACAAAAATCTAAATCTCGGGCAGGAGATAAATAGCCATTGTCAGGATTGTAATTGTGATCTTAAGAAGCTCCTACTTACCTTGCAGCACAGGTGAATTTGGAATTGGAAGAAATACTACTGCCGCCTTCAGCAAGAAAATTGCAAAGTAGTGTGCAAGCATCACTGGATGAATTCCCACAGTGTGCTAATGAAATAGATGCTATCCACATCTTATGGCTGATGGAAAATAGCACACAGCAGTTACCTGCCTTGCTCAAGTCTCAAAATAAGTCAGCAGGGAAACAGAGAACTGCAACTAGAAGTTACAGGCTCCTGCTCCATTGCCTGCAGCACTGGAAACAAGAACACATGAAGCATTCAGTGCTGTGGTGTGGCCACAGAGATAGCAGCAGACCAGTTTTCCTTCTAATGTCAGCATTTAGGTAGCTGTGTAATAGTCACATATAGAATTTCCATCATTTCAGACTGGGCATTCAACTTGGAAGAAGTTAGATGTGTGCAGACAGGCTCAAAGCATCCATCCATCTACTGTGCAAGTCAGCTCCTAAGACTTCTGATTCAAAGCTTGCATCAAAAGCAAGTTCCTCCTTGATGTTTGTGAGAAAAGAATTAATTCACAGACTGACACTCTTCTGTTTTGTTGTTTTTTTCAAAAATTTATTAACAAGTGTTGAACATTTTTCAAGTACATTTTAAGTCAAGAAAACATATTTCTCATAATCTTTTGATATTAATGATATAAAACATTTTTTCATTTAAAACAACAGCTGGTAGATAAAAAGACTTTGTGGCTTGCAACACTGTACAATCAAGACAGCAAATTTGTATACCTACATACAAACAGAACAGTGTTCACAATAAAGTGGAAAATCATAAATGGTAGGAAATTAATTAGATTCCTACATACCACGAGTCCCTTAAAAGTGAGGAGTGTTGTTATAACACCTTCACAGCAACTCATGGACTACATTGTCTCTTGCTTTTACTCCAGAAGAATTATGCAGCTGAAATGAATTTAGGTCTGGGAAAGCTCAGGCACCTCATGAGTGATTCCCTGAAAATGTGGCCTAGTAAGAGAATAGTAATGACTTTAAGGTAGATGGAGCTGAATTGTTGAAGAATGTCCACTAGGTACTCCATCGCATCAGCTATTTCATATCAATAGCAGCTCTACATTGTGCCACAATCCCAATGAGTAATGTTCAAGAAATCTCTCCTCCGCTTCAGGATTTTTTTTCTGCTGCTTCTGCTTCTGAATTATGTTTCAGGACATTATTCAATCAGTAGATAGCCTTTTCCTCAAGTGGAAGCAATTCAGGGACACAAATATAAAGGTTGGTATTTATGTCCACATTCTTCATAGCAGAAGTATTTGAGCTTTCCTGGGTGTTGAGAAGTGCCACTGCGCAAGCGATGCAGCAAACCAGGGTGGCTGAGAACAGTCCTGTGGTGCAGGCTGATATCTAATGTTGAACTGTGAAAAACACCAGAGAGAAAGTGTCAAGGAATGAATATGGTAAGTACATTCAAGATCAACATTTTATTCTATTAAGTAAATAAAAGCTATTCTTTAGGAATTGAATGTATAAAAGATGCTAAATACAAAACCTTGCCAAAATGTTGCATGGTCTGTCCATACTAATGGCAACTGCACCACACTGAATTCCTCTTGACTTTTACTATGGTGAACCCCTATTTGGAACAAAACTATGGCAGTGTAGTGCATGAGAATGGGAATGAGACTTGGTAACATAACAGTTCAAAAACTGGATGGAAAAAAGTTTTCTTCAAAGACAACTTTAGAGACTACTGAACCAGTTATCCATCCTTGCATGCTGACCGTATCCAAAGCTACTCATTAAAAATAAGAAACTTGACTGAGGGAAATGCTTTTGCATTCAAATAAAAGAGTAATGCTCAAAAGTTGACAAAGGACATTATTTCATAGCAGCTCTTATAAGAAGATCCTTCTCTCTCTCTGCCCATTGCCATGCTAAAGCATCATTCACAAGCAAGCAACCTCAGGAATGGTGCTGTGTGCTGGAAAAATCCTATATGCTGGAAAAGAAGAGGACTGCAGGGCCATTGCTTTTCTTCAGTTTACCTGCACCCCTTTAACGGTGGAGAAGGATTATTACTTAGTCTTTTCTCTGCCTCCTAAACTGGAGCTTGCTTTTATATATCACGGGATAGAGGTGTCTGAATGTCACCCATGCGTGTCATGGAAAAGGGCTGCTCCTGCTTTAAATAAGGCAACTCCATTGATGAAGGAGAGAACGTGATCTGTTTCTCTGAGCTTCTCAGAGTTTAAGCAGGCTCCAAGTGTAACTTTGACTAAAGATGGACGAAAGTCTAGATGCAGTGTTCTTCCACACATCTGTAGCATTCTCAATTTGCAAACTCAACACTTTCTTTGAGAACCTGATAAGTCTTAACAAGGAGAAGACTGGATGACCAGAGTATGACTGCCTTTTGTAAAAAGTGTCAAGCCAACCTGTATGATAACAATTCCTTTCTATAATTACAGTAACACATACAAGAAATCCAACTGGCTTCTTCCATATCAACTCTTATAAGCAGAGCAACCAGAGTATAAGAACAGCAAAGACTCATCTTGTTCTTGTGGACTTGGAAAGAATCCTTGGCCAGATTAGCATCAAAAAGAATTTATCAATTAACATCTAATTACTGGTAAATTAAATAGCATCAAGCATGCTCAGACTCTACGTTGACCCCAGTTTAATAAGACAGCATCAGAAGTAAAATCTAAGTGCCAAACTGATGTTGATTATGTTACAGGTGAAAATTTAGCAATTACAAGACTTTTTTTCCACTTATCATTCACCTAAGAACTATAATAACTGAATTCAAGGTTTAAAAGCTAATCAAACCAATGAGATAAAGCAAAATCACATTAAACTGAACAGAAAGACTTCCCTGAATAACAGCTCCACCTAAAATCAGGCATTTTATTTGTTACACAAGTAACAAAAAGATTTTTTTTTCAAGAATGCTTTTTCATTTCATCTCTTCCACATGGCAGTAAGATGCCTAAAACTGTTCATCTCATTTGCTCCCTTCTCTGTCCATTTCTTGTTACCCTGCTGTTCTTATCCCACGATAAAAATGTACTTACTTTCTCAGAATTCTAAAAATCCAGAACAAATTCTACTATTAATCTTGTTTTGCCACAGAACATATTAAGTTTTCCTATTCTGCCTTACTGATGTCCGTTAGTGTTGATTAAGAGAAAAAGATCAGGAAAAGTAGACCAATTTATAAGACAATGTCATATTTGGTTTCTCTGTCTGCATTTTCTAATAGAGTTCCCAATTATTGCCCATTTTGATTCAGTGGTGTGGACATCAAACAATTAAAAATTACAAGTCAGTCACTGGAACTCCATCATATGGCAATGTCTTGGAGTAGTGGTCATGCATTCATGACAATTTCAGAGATTTTACAGAACAACCCTAATATGTTTCTTACCTTTTCTAATCAGTGCAATAGAGAGACTTACATTTGGCAGTCTTTTAAACCCTATTGCTATTTCAATAAGTGTTCAAGAAGTGTAGCACAATGCCAGAGCAGTAAGTAAATAATAAGTGAAAAATGAAAGCAAAGTGAATAATGCTTCCTGGAACAGGTTGCCCTATTTCTGCGAAGATGAACATTTTGCATGTAGTCCTTTCTAAAGAAGTGAATAGGATGTAATGAAGGTGAGATGTACCACTTCATTTTACAAAGCTGCATTTGAATTCCAAAAAAAAAAAAGAGAAAGAAAAAAAAAAGAATTTGCTGATTTCATATAGAGAGAGGAAGAAGACCCAGAGGTAACAGCTTTTACTGAACAAATGTGGAAGACAAACACCTGGAAGGTGGATTTCAAAGTCAGTACATCCAACATGAGGAGTACAGTGTGCAGTTGCTATCAGGAACAGTAAAATGAAAGAACAAGCAAACTGAACTATAGGAAGGAAATAACCACGAGGCTTTACGTGATGAGAGATGCTGAAAGAGCTATGGTCAGATATAGTTACAAGATAATCTCAGCTGAAAATCTCGCACTGAACTGTATCTGCAATCTGTTCAGGAAAGACAAGAAAAAGAGATACGATGGGGCACGCATTAATAAGACATTCTGATGGTCTGAGGTAAAAAGAAAAATGTATGTTTGCACTCTGCTTTGAGATAGGAAGAAAGGAAAGATTACAAGTTGCAAGAGTGCAAAAGGAAAGTATGAAATGCAAAGCTTGAGATTCTGGTGTGTGAATAGACTTCAGTTTGCAAATGTACCTCCAGAGAGCACATCAAAAGCCACCTGATCCATGTGCATATTGATAATCATTGCTCCAGGAAGTTCAAGTAAACAATTTTGCTTAAGCAAGGAGGAAAAGCAGAGACTAATGCAGAGCTGGAGTGTGAGCTGGAGTGTAGATTTATATACAGCAGTATACTATTCACTAAAATAAAATATCTTTCAGATTAATCACTGACAAATTGATAAGTCTAATGGACAGCAGCTAAGAAATATGTCACAGAAATTATTCTGTGTAGTTCAAAAGTAATAGAAGGAAACTGGGAAAGGCCAGAAATGTGTATCCCTATAATACAGCAGGAGCAGTGAAGGAGGCTTTGTAAGAAGGTAACTACTGCTTTGATTTTCTGCTTCCTGTTTGTATAAGAAAACCATTTCAGCTGCCCTCAGTGAACATAATTACAGATGCTTTCAAAGATCCTTAAATATTTAACTACTTAATCTTCACAATAGCTCTATTAAATAGATGTTTCTTTGAAACCCCAATTTACACAAGAGAAACATCTTTTGAAGCTTATTTTTTGAAAGTGGTTTCGCTCCTTTCATGCAGTGCTGAAACAGAAGAAAGTGCTGCATAGATGCCTTTGCAGGTGCAGCTTTGTGGATGGAGACACAAATGAGAGGTTTTCAGCTCTTTGATTACTGCTGCCAGTCAAGCTCATATTCACTACAGGCTTCAAAACATGAATGTAATTAAGTAAAAGGACAAAACCATATCTGCACATTACTGGTCCAGACTGAGCCTCCTTAAAGCTCAGTGTGGAGCAGAGGAGCCCTGCCCAAGGCTGCATGATGTGCTCTGCTGTGCTACAGTAGACTTTCCAAGTTCTTGGCACTTCACCTCCAGATGAATCTACTGACAGATGCTGCTTTTCTGAGCCAAATTTCCAAGGCAGAGGGTAGGAAGGCAGTGGGTGTATTTTAAACTTGACATTTCAGCAGAGAAAACGTATAGAATAATTGCAAGGACTTGCAACAAGCATATAGGTACCCATAGACTTGGACCAAAGAGTCACTAGATGATCTAGCACAAAATTGAGAAGCTCTGTACAAAAGAATATAAAAATAGTGCAGCTATGCGAATGAACTCAGGTGTTCCTAGGGACATCATATTTTGTCACAGATGATCTGAACGAGATGTCTCCTGTACCTTAATTAAAATTTTAGAAGTCATCAAATGAAGAGAGGCTGCCAGACAGTGAGCAAGAACAAAGGGAGAAAATGGGCCTGATTTGCTCTCAAAAGACATGTGGACATCTCTGCTTAGGCTTATTAAATACTTTGCTTGAGCACATGATGGCAGAAGATGATTCTATAAAGAGCTAACATTTAACCATATTTATTTTTATTAAAAAAAGAAAAAAAGAAAAAAGGAAAAACAAAGCCTGCCATTATTCACTTCCTTTTTACCCCAAGTCTACCTAGCAATAGAGCAAGGCTATTGGGTGACACAGAAACACAAAGCACACACACACACATATACACACACATGGGTTTTCTATACTGCTGAAAGAATAACTCTGAAAGTGCAGTGTGGTGCAGACCTCACAATAATGGGAACAGTTACATTGGCTCACTGAGTTTTGGACAGAACAGGCTCCACACAGCATCAAAACATAGACTAAAGCTGAATCAGCTGGAGAAGAATAAATACAACCAACAATATTCATGGAATAACAATACCATAAAGTAGTATACAGTGAACTAGAATATGGGAATGATACTTCACAAATAACACGCAGTACTGCAAAAACATTGATATGAGAGAGGCACTGATTTCTTCTCACTGGGAACCAAGCACTGGAACAGATTGCCCAGAGAGGTTGTGGAGTCTCCTCCTATAGAGATACTCAAGACCCATTTGGATGCCTACCTGTGAGACAAATTGTAGGGTACCTGTTTTAGCAGGGAGGCTGGAATTGATGATCTCTTGATCAACCCCTGCAATTCTGTGATTCAGCTCTTCTGTGTGACGTGTGGGGATGGCACAGAGCTGCAACAGGGGAGGCTCAGAATGAACATTAGGAAAAACTTATCTGCTGTGAGAGTGGCTCAAACACTGGAACAGGATTCCTAGCAGGGTGGTTGATGCCCCATATCCGTCAGTGTTCAGGAGGCATTTGGATAATGCCCTCCAAAATGTGCTTTAATGTTTG